TAGCAGAAACATTAAAGAATTGGTTTCAGCTTTTAAAGAAGTATTTGGAAAATATTTTATTGCGTCAGAATACAAATATATTTGGTTCTCTAGCAAAGCTAGTATATTTTTCTTGCTATGTTTATTACATCAATAGAATGAAGCTGGTCAACCCCAGATTAGATACATGTATATATGTGATAAATATCGTGTAATTGTGATAAATATCATGTAACATAGTATTATTAAAACCTGAACTACGTAACATGATTAAAACATGTATTGTGATTAGATTAACTACGTTTATATTTATCCGCATGCCCGGAGGTTTGGCATTGATAGATTACAAGCTTGTGTCCGTGTTGATATTGAAAGCTGACGAGATCATGGAATCGATAGATTACAAGCTTTGCCCTTGTTGACATTGATAGCTGACAAGATCGTGACTGGCTATGTAAGGTAGTTGAACTGAGTATGCAGTGTTGTGGAAAACTTCTTTCGGATTCATTTGAGACATATAAAACTTTTTAAAGATCTGTAAATCCTTCGACGTTCAAAACCCCTCTTTGGGGGTGGATACGTTTTCAGAATTATTTGTTCAACTTATAAAAAGTGTAACGTTGTATAACTGAAAATGCATTACTGTTTATGAAAATGTTTAGAAACGTTTTCCCTTTTAGTATAATGAAAATTTCAACGTTGCAGAAATGGGTTATTATTTTAATAATCAGGAAGCGAAAGTTTTTTTTACAGAGTAAAATTTCAATAATGAAAAGTATAACATTTAAAAAATGTAATTCTGTAAATCAAAACGTTTCATAACTTTTCTCTGAATACTAAATTGATTAGTCTAACGTTAGATATATGTCTGATGAAAATGTTGTTCATAAAACGTTAGACTATGAGGGCTGAGTTTTAATTTNATTTAAATTCTAGAAATTATCAAGAATATTTTATTAACTTTTATTAAATAAAGTCAAATTTACACGAAACATAATTTAACAAAATTTAATATTTTGATTTACGTAAGCTGAAGGGGTTTTGTAATTCGCAATCCATAATAAGTGGCACAACTAGTGGCCCCTTCAATCCCAAAGGGTGGCATCTCCTAGCCCCTTCAATCCCAGAGAGTGGCATCTCCTAGCCCCTTCAAGCCCAGAGGTTTGCATCTCCTAACCCCTTCAAGTCCAGAGGGTGGCATCTCCTAGCCCCTTCAATCCCAGAGGTTGGCATCTCCTAGCCCCTTCAATCCCATAGGGCGGCGCCCCTCCACAAGATATTTTTCAAAAGATCTTAACAAAAGTTAGCAATTTCCTAGAGAACAATTTTTGGAACCCCTTCCATTCCCCCTCCTTTTTAACACATAAAGTTGGGGTCATCCCCTATCCTGTCCTAGCCGCAGCACTCAGCCTTGAAATTGTTCTAACCCAGCCTAATCCTAAAATAATACAAAATAAATATTTTTTTGTTAAAATATTTTAAATCTAGGTCATGTACAAAATCGATAGGAGAGGGGGGTGCCCTGGGGGGGGGCCAAAAATCGTTTTCTAGGACAGACCCTAAAAGTTCTTGTATTACTTGTCGTTATACTAATTTTCTCATCTCTGTTTCTTTTCAACCTGATTTCACAGTTTTCTGAATTACGATATTTCAAACTACAAATTCTGCTTTTTTCGCATTGTCAAAAATTGAACTACTAAAGATGTCCATTGTAAACCATAAGGTTGCAAAGTTATAATGATAAAAAATTTGAAAAATGTGAGAAATCAGTTTCTTTTCACATTTCAAACAAATACTCCGCTCATGCTCTTAGAAAATAAGCTTCTGTTATATGAAATTATATTCTTATGTAAAAAATTACTTTTACGAATATTTTGAAGTAATTTGATATTTGCAATTTTTGAAAATTTTAGCAACATTTTATTGCTTAAGATTTAACTAAGACAAGATTTAAATAAACAGATTTGATTTAAAAATTAACATGATTTAGCTACAAGTTAAACAAATTTGATTTCAAAATGAACACAATTTAACATTTTAAATCCTTTTTTTAAATTATACAATCTGGACGCTTTAGGTATGCCCATTGCTAAAAATTTATGCACACTCTTCCTATTCCAAAGTTTGATAGGCCCCAATGCACTATGATAAAACCCTTTTTATAAAACCTAATTTAAGAACTAGAAATAACTCTTCAAAAGGAGTAGATAAATAAACTAATTTATTGGCTATTTCATCTCTCTACTAAATACAATAAAGTGACGACCATGAAATCAAAGAAAATGTGTTACATATTTTGACTAAAGCAAAATTGTCAAAATGAACAGGATAAAAATGGGAATTTCAATCGTTATACGATGACGGAGAACATTTCATATCAAAAAACAATTTTCAAGTCGTGTTTATTTTTAAGTCTTTATATAATAGCTATTAATGAAAAAGAAAAAGGTTTAATAAACGAATCAGATCTCTGAAAAGATAACAATATGTTTAAAATAGAGCACTAAAGGTTTGTTTCCAAATCTTCAAGGGCCACCTCCTGAAAAAGAATATTGTTATAAACATTTATAAAAGTTTAGTAATTTCATCTTACAAAACTAGATTTAAAGAATATTGTTAATTATGAGCGCTAGATCTCGATATCCAAAGTAAACACTTTTAAATTTAGACCTAAATTCTTGATTTCTTAATTAAGTTAGCCCTGGATAGGGTATAGGACCATCAAGGAATATCAAAGATTAATTAAATTAATCCGTAGATTTACATAAGATGGAGATTAATTCTTGATCCCCAGATTTACAATACAAAAGTTTAAACTTCAAGTTTACATTTCTAAAAAGTTTTGTGTCCAATTTTAAAGATATTTTTTTCAACAGTTCTCCACCGAAGTGACTGGCAACCATACGCAGCAGCGACAAGAAGGGAATTTGATAAAATTTGCTGTTTTTCAAAATTCTGATGTGTATGTATTTAAGGTATATCGTTGGGACTCGGGCATGTTACCCTTAGCATATACAGTGAAAACCAGAAAACTGTGGAATAGGAAGACGACTTTAAAGAAATACTTGAGTACATTTCATGTTGTTACAAGCAAATAGTTTTATTAGTAGTAACTTATTAAATCACTTATAAAGTGAAATGATTCTGTTTCTTATTAAATCACTTATGGAGTGAATTGAGCCTGTTTATACTCAACAATTTCTGTGTCTCATGTTCAGTAGTCTATTTAAACCCATAATTAAAGTACAAAGGTTGTATTCCTATTCCACAGTTTTCTGGTTCTCACTCTAGGTTCTTTTAAAAGTACGTCCAAAGTCCTTTCAAGGAAACAGTCAGTAAAAAAGACAGCTAAATGTGTTATTGTATGAAATAAAACTTTGCTATGCAGTTTGGCGAAACTTTGTTTTCTTGTGAATACTATTAGAGATCAAGAATAAAAATGCTTTTATTTAAACTCAAAGCTCAATCCACAAGAGTTAGTAAGTAAGAATTGCATTTTTCCCTTTGTCTTTGAATTGTGATTTTTAAAATGATTTAAATAAAACAAAAATCAGTTTCATGAGATGATAACCAGATAAGGTTATAAGGAAAGTCGGGTTTCGTTTAGTTTTTTAGTTAGAAACGTAGCTAAAGATGTTGTTATCTTTAGCTACGTTTTTAACTGAACTAGACATAACGAAGACGACTTTTACTCCGCTTTATTCTGATATAATAGTATATAATTTGCGTCGTAAAAACAAATGCGCCGAACTCATTTTGATCTTGAGTACACTGATTTACTTTAAACATTTCACATAAATAAAATCAGAACACATATTTTCTAATATATCTTATTTTTTTACTTTTATTGGATTTTATATTGCTGTTTGCGTCTTATTTTAATAAAATTTTGAACTCCTTTATCTTTGCAACATGATGGTGAACACATTTGAAATTATAAACTTTGATTCTTTGAGTAGTACAATACTTTATTCCACAGGAGGCTGGACAATCACTTTCATACTTATTGCATAAACATACAGGGTTACCCACAAAGGATGAGACTGTAAAAACAACATAAATCTCTTAAAATATGATGATATCAGTGTTAAATTTAGCCTTTTGCCTTAATGAATGGATTGTATTGTAATGATGGTGTGATTTTGGTTGATCTTTTATTATCTATTCATATCTATTATCCATTCATGCATTATTGATTCGTATAGTATTTTCTTATTTTTATTCGTGTTTGTATAAATAATAATAATAAATTGTAAAACCGTCTCGCTGAATATTTGATAATATGAGTTGTTGACTTGAATTTTTAGCATATATTAGAGTAATTTTACAGGTTTTTTGAAAATAAGATTTTAAACCTGAAACTGTCGTTGGGACTCCAGGTAGGAGAAGAGCTCTGTATCCTCGTGTTCAACCAACTGACTTGGAGTCTTTCCGTCCTTATCCTGAATAGAGATGGACATCATTTCTTGTTTTTTAAACATTCAAGGTTTCATTAGTTTTCCGTCCAATTATTCTCAATAGAGATGAACATCGTTTCTGGTGTTTTTTTTTAACATTTAAGGTTTTATTGCTTCTCCGTCCTTGTCCTGAATACACATAAACATCGTTTATTTTTTTTTAATTCAAGGTGTTATTTCTTATCCGTCCTAATCATGAACAGTGATAGACATCATCTCTGTTTTTTTTAATTCAAGGTGTTATTTCTTATCCGTCCTAATCATGAACAGTGATAGACATCATTTCTGTTTTTTTAACAGTCAAGGTTTAATTACTTATCCGTCCTTATCCTGAATAGGGATGGACATCATTTCTGGTTTTTTAAAGATTCAAGGTTTTATTAGTTTTAAGTGGAATCTGAGCTGTTAATCAAATTTCAAAGACTATTTGTATGTATTTAAGGTATATCGTTGGGACTCGGGCATGTTACCCTTAGCATATACAGTGAAAACCAGAAAACTGTGGAATAGGAAGACGACTTTAAAGAAATACTTGAGTACATTTCATGTTGTTACAAGCAAATAGTTTTATTAGTAGTAACTTATTAAATCACTTATAAAGTGAAATGATTCTGTTTCTTATTAAATCACTTATGGAGTGAATTGAGCCTGTTTATACTCAACAATTTCTGTGTCTCATGTTCAGTAGTCTATTTAAACCCATAATTAAAGTACAAAGGTTGTATTCCTATTCCACAGTTTTCTGGTTCTCACTCTAGGTTCTTTTAAAAGTACGTCCAAAGTCCTTTCAAGGAAACAGTCAGTAAAAAAGACAGCTAAATGTGTTATTGTATGAAATAAAACTTTGCTATGCAGTTTGGCGAAACTTTGTTTTCTTGTGAATACTATTAGAGATCAAGAATAAAAATGCTTTTATTTAAACTCAAAGCTCAATCCACAAGAGTTAGTAAGTAAGAATTGCATTTTTCCCTTTGTCTTTGAATTGTGATTTTTAAAATGATTTAAATAAAACAAAAATCAGTTTCATGAGATGATAACCAGATAAGGTTATAAGGAAAGTCGGGTTTCGTTTAGTTTTTTAGTTAGAAACGTAGCTAAAGATGTTGTTATCTTTAGCTACGTTTTTAACTGAACTAGACATAACGAAGACGACTTTTACTCCGCTTTATTCTGATATAATAGTATATAATTTGCGTCGTAAAAACAAATGCGCCGAACTCATTTTGATCTTGAGTACACTGATTTACTTTAAACATTTCACATAAATAAAATCAGAACACATATTTTCTAATATATCTTATTTTTTTACTTTTATTGGATTTTATATTGCTGTTTGCGTCTTATTTTAATAAAATTTTGAACTCCTTTATCTTTGCAACATGATGGTGAACACATTTGAAATTATAAACTTTGATTCTTTGAGTAGTACAATACTTTATTCCACAGGAGGCTGGACAATCACTTTCATACTTATTGCATAAACATACAGGGTTACCCACAAAGGATGAGACTGTAAAAACAACATAAATCTCTTAAAATATGATGATATCAGTGTTAAATTTAGCCTTTTGCCTTAATGAATGGATTGTATTGTAATGATGGTGTGATTTTGGTTGATCTTTTATTATCTATTCATATCTATTATCCATTCATGCATTATTGATTCGTATAGTATTTTCTTATTTTTATTCGTGTTTGTATAAATAATAATAATAAATTGTAAAACCGTCTCGCTGAATATTTGATAATATGAGTTGTTGACTTGAATTTTTAGCATATATTAGAGTAATTTTACAGGTTTTTTGAAAATAAGATTTTAAACCTGAAACTGTCGTTGGGACTCCAGGTAGGAGAAGAGCTCTGTATCCTCGTGTTCAACCAACTGACTTGGAGTCTTTCCGTCCTTATCCTGAATAGAGATGGACATCATTTCTTGTTTTTTAAACATTCAAGGTTTCATTAGTTTTCCGTCCAATTATTCTCAATAGAGATGAACATCGTTTCTGGTGTTTTTTTTTTAACATTTAAGGTTTTATTGCTTCTCCGTCCTTGTCCTGAATAAACATAAACATCGTTTCTTTTTTTTATTCAAGGTGTTATTTCTTATCCGTCCTTATCATGAACAGTGATGGACATCATTTCTGTTTTTTAACATTCAAGGTTTAATTACTTATCCATCCTTATCCTGAATAGGGATGGACATCATTTCTGGTTTTTTAAAGATTCAAGGTGTTATTAGTTTTAAGTGGAATCTGAGCTGTTAATCAAATTTCAAAGACTATCAGCTATCAACTATAGTACTTCTGTATCAGTAGACTGTCAGTTATCAGCTATGAGTACACCTGTATTACTAGCCTTTCAGTTATCAGCTATGAGGATGCCTGTATTACTAGACTATCAGCTATAAGCTATGAATAAACCTGTATTACTATACTATCAGCCATCATGTATGTATATTCCTGTATTTCTGACTATCAGCTATCAGCTTTCAGTAAACCTGTATTACTAGACTATCAGCTATCAGCTATGAGTAAACCTGTATTACTAGACTGTCAGCTATCAGCTATGAACAAACCTGTATTACTAGACTATCAGCTATCAGCTATGAGTAAACTTGTATTACTAGACTATCAGCTATCAGCTATGAACAAACCTGTATCACTAGACTATCAGCTATCAGCTATATATATACCTGTATTACTAGACTAGCTCCAGCAGCTATCAGCATACAGCAGATATCTCGACGTTTATAAGCAGCTGCTTTATGAAGAGCAGTCTGACCCTGCATATATCACTTTAGATTTTAAAGGGATGGTTCACGAATTTATTAATACCAAATAAACTTAATAATCCTTTTTTAGTAATTGTCAACACAGTCGCTGTCAAACCAAAGTAACCACTAAATATTGGCCAACATGCCTAAAACCTCCCTGGAAACATTTTAAACTTTAAACATTTAAAAACCTGAATTGAATTTCAGGGTCCACAAGGTTGAAAAGTTTAAATCAAAATGGAGGTTTCAATAAATAAAAGCACTAGCACTCTACACATCTTCTTTACTCTGTGATTGAAAATGCCCGCCGGAACATTCATACATACATACACCCATACATATATGTATGCTTTGTTTCCCTGTCTGGGTGTTTTGTTGTCTGTTTGTAGCTGATAAACATAAAAACGGCTGAACCGATCGGGCACATCACATGACCCCAGGGAAGATTTATGGATGATCAAAATCTCAAAAAGTAGCATCCAGCAAAATTTGATTCTAATTAAATTTTAGAATCCACAATTTTTTTTATAAAATCCGTGAACTTTTTTTACTTTTTTACAATGTATACATAGAGAAAATGTTCACAATTAAAATAGTTGGGCGTGAACCGCCCTGAAAGCCTAGAATTTGATAAGTAAGGTTTTTTTAAATGTATACACAAGGAATATTAAATAATGCAACCTCTTTAAAAGAAGGGACCAGCTAGGTAACGTTATAGTTGGGACTGTAGTATTACAGAGAACAAATTTAGAATACATTTGATACCATATGAGACGTTTTACTGTGTATAACTTCTAAATAATAACGTTAATTCGGTTGTAAAATTTCACCAAAGGGGATAGTCCGCATGCAAAAGAAACTTTTTTTAAACAATTGTTTAATAACTCGGAAGAAAACCCATAACGAACATTTATCGGTATCCCCCCCTTTAAAGGGTTATTAAACACAATATTTATATCAGTATAAAAAGATACTTCTAAAAATTAACAAAAAAATCCTTTAAACTTTAATCTGCTGTCAGAGTTAGGCTTATATAACAATTAGGGTTTCCATTCGCAAATCTTTTGCGCAATTTTTGCGAAAGAAAGCGCAAATTTTTGCTTTCGTTGCGCTACATTTTTGTGCGAAAAAATAGCTCTTTGCGCAATAATTCGCAAACTTCAATTCGCGCAAAATTGTGTATTTCTGTTTTGCGCAATTTTGAGGAACATATTCTCATTAAAAGGTTAATTAAAGGTGTACACTGTATAGATTAGTTATCTATTAGATTGCACTTGCTGGCATATAATTGCAATGCTGAAAAGGGAACTGATTACTTGCCTAAACCTCTATTTTGCAACCTGATGCATGATGGCACTATGTAAATAAAAATGTGCACACTCTCACTCAAACATTGAGCAGTATATAGTCAACCAGTCTTTAAAACTTAAGTCAGAAACAGACGCGTAGCATTTTCAAAATGTATGTCTAGGCCCAGAAAAAATAGGATTTGTGAGGTGTGAGGAAAAACCAAAGGCGTCACGATACTTTAAATTTGAGGCTGTATATTTTAATATTTCAATCATATACATTAGAATAGAAGTAGTCAACATTTCATATATCAAAGGTTGCCACCACTCAACGATTCTGACATCTAAAAAAGAACTATGCATCAATTTTCAATTAGTATTTCATTAATTTTTGTTCCTCAATTTGACCTTTTCTAACTAAACGTAACCAATTTAGAGTCGAATATCATGATATTGTTTGTAAAGTGTTGAATAACCCTTTAGTTGTTTGTTTCTGTGCTGAAACTATCAATTTTGATCAAGTTGCTTAAAATTATCATGTTTTAAGTAAAAATGTACGTTTTTCTCAAATTACCCCAAAAAACGCACAAAAATATAATGCGCTTTATGCACAAAAGATGTGCAAAAGTTTGCAAAAAATATTTGTGCGCAAAAATTACTCAAATTTAGCGCAACAATACATGCTAGTTTCGTGGAAACCCTAATAACAATGCATTTTTTAATTGTTAAGGGACAATTGTTGTAATCTTAAGAGACAATTTCATCCATAAATTTAGTCCATAAATTTAGTCCATAAATTTAGTCCGTAATTTTAGTCTATAAATTTAGTCCATAAATAGACCTTACTAAAAATTTGACTTGAAATATTTTCATACCTTTTCATTATCTGTCATATCCACAATACAGGAAGGAGATTTCTAGATTCAATAAGTTTAAAAAAATATATTTTATAAAAAAAATATTTTTTTTTAATTAAAAAGCTACGGTTGCCCTTGCCATGCATATGTAGGGTGACATTAATTGTTTATAATTAAATGTTACTTTCTCATTTAAAATATATTTTTATTAATTGAATATAGACTTTAAAAAGAAATGTCAAAGCCATAAATAGACTTCTAAAATACACTGGTGATAATTTGTTTTCTATTTATTTATCTATTTTAATTAACACCAATATTGATAAATTTATACTTTTATTTTGATGTATATATTATTGAAACTATTTCCTGCAGTAGAAATCTAATAACTTCTTTATGTCCAAACCTGAAGAAATTGGAATTTCAAATTAATTTCAATTGCGCTATAATCATATCAAATAGGAGCTTACACAGGACTTTTTCCATGGGTTGGAGCTTTAATTTTTTTTTTAGGGGGGGGGGGGTATTACGAAATAAAAATAAAAAAAATGATCAAATATAGCTAAAAAAATTGAATTCATATGGCACCACTGATGGGCAAAGTTTTGAGGTCCGTTTTTAACATTAAAAATAATTTGAAATTTAAACTTTGCAGAATTGGCCCAAACCTTAACTCAATGCTATAGAAATGGCCCAAATCGTGATTCCGAATTTTCATATTAAATCTCTAAAAATATTTTTTTCCTTGTACTATTTTTGAAGGATTTTAAGATTATTTCTATAACCCCAAACGAAAGAAATTAGTTGGATAAAAATAGTGTTTTCTGTAATTTGATTCATTTTTTGTTTGTTTTAACGAGGAAAAATATTTTCTACAGAAATATATTTTGTCACAAATAAAAACATAAGAAAAAAGAACAAATTTCCTATCCATTGTCTGACCTAGACGGATATTAACTTCTAAGTTTCTAACTCAATTAGATACCCGATACAATAGACAGATAGATACTGGATACAGTAGATAGATAGTTACTAGATACAGTAGATAGATAGATACCCGATACAATAGATAGATATATACTGGATACAGTAGATAGATAGATACTGGATACAGTAGATAGATAGATACTGGATACAGTAGATAGATAGATACTGGATACAGTAGATAGATAGTTTCTGGATACAGTAGATAGATAGATACCCGATACAATAGATAGATAGATACTGGATACAGTAGATAGATAGATACTGGATACAGTAGATAGATATATACTGGATACAGTAAATAGATAGATACTGGATACAGTAAATAGATAGATACTGGATACAGTAGATAGATAGTTACTGGATACAGTAGATAGATAGATACCCGATACAATAGATAGATAGATACTGGATACAGTAAATAGATAGATACTGGATAAAGTAGATAGATAGTTACTTGATACAGTAGATAGATAGATACCCGATACAATAGATAGATGGGTACTGGATACAGTAGATAGATAGATACTGGATACAGTAGATAGAAAGTTACTGGATACAGTAGATTGACAGATACCCGATACAATAGATAGATAGATACTGGATACAGTAGATAGATAGATACTGGATACAGTAGATAGATAGTTACTGGATAAACTAGATAGATAGATACTGGATACAGTAAAAAGATAGATACTGGATACAGTAGATAGATAATTACTGGATACAGTAGATAAATAGATACTGGATACAGTAGATAAATAGATACTGGATACAGTAAATAAATACTGATTACAATAAATAAGAAGTAAGTAGGAAGTAGGAAGAGATACAATAGATAGATGCTGGATACAGTAGATAAATACTGAATACAGTATATAAATACTGGATACAATAGATAGATAGTTACTGGATACGGTAAATAGATACTGAAAACAGTAGATAGATAAATACTGAATACTGTATATAAATACTGGATACAGTAGATTGTTACTGGATATGGTAAATAGATACTGAAAACAGTAGATAGATACTGGATACTGTAGATAGATACTGGATAATGTAGATAGATACTGGATACGATAGATAGAAACTGGATACAGTAGAAAGATACTGCAGGCTTGATAAGATTTGCTTCAAATAATGATGATAATAAAAATCACTGACACTGTATTTTTACTTGGAACCGTAGCGGAGAGCTGTATTTTTACCTGGAACCGTAGTGAAGAGCTTTTTTTACCTGGAACCGTAGTGAAGAGCTGTTTTTGCTGTTTCATCAATTGACAATAAAGAATATCCCTCCTGGAAAATATGTTTATGAAAATTATATTTTCTTAAAATATCGATCGGTAAGACTCAACCTCTGCCCCCCCCCCCCTCCACACCCCTGTATGCTCCCCTTATTCGAATCTCTGTAATAAATATTCTATAACCTGTTGTAAATCCTTCAGCATGTCTAGATCTCCTAGCCTTGCCGCCTTAGATAAAAAAAAGATATATTAACCTTAAAGGAACTGTTATCGAAATTTCAAGTGACCCTCTGGCCTCCATGCATTGATTGCAATTCTTGATTCACAACGGTACCCTTGAAACCTTTATCTGATCAATAATGTGAATGATATTCTCGTGCCTCGACGTTTGAAAAGTGTTAATTTCTGATAATTCTTTTTATGTTCTCCTAAAGTAGTGAGTAGAAATGCGCAACCCACTTTTGCATATATAGAAATCCTAATTGAAAATAAACAGTTTTCAAAATTACATTACAAAGTGAAATCTGCCTGTTTTAATGGTTCACCCTTTATAGCTTTAATTTTTTTGCATTTTCTCTTTAAGAATTTTACATTTTTAGGTTTTAATTCTATTAAATATTAATTGCAAATCATAAATTGTGATTTAGTATGTCCGTTTTTTGTAATTATCCTTTTTATTGCTGATCCTACCTTTAAAACCCCCTCTGATGTTTTCTCTAAAATACTGCACCCTTCACGAAGAATTGGTACAGTTAGATGGAAACTAGTACTCTCCTTGGTAGAAACAATACTTTTTATCTTAAAGGGAGTGTTTCCGAAATGTGACTGTGTTAGCTTGAAACAGACTTGAATTCGGCAAAAATAGTGGCTATTAATTAGTATTCTAGTCTAAACAGGGTTATTAGTGGTTAAGAAGTACTAAATTTAGCTTAAGAAAGCTGAAAATGACAAATAATTGATTTGATTTGTCGTATTTTCATATTCAGAGTTTAGAATTTTTTTCATGAAATAACGCTTTTATGCCTTCACTCAATTTCTACGGTTAAAACTTCAATTTAAAAATCAAAATCCTTGAATAACAGCTGATTGGTGTTTTCATGATCTCTCATTGGATGGGAGATTTTTGATTGGTCAATGCTTCCAGGATCTGATCTGGAATATCAAAAAGGAATAAACATTTTACTTGGACTCACAAAATATACATATTAATTTCTGATTTACTACAAAAGTTTCCAGCTCTTTCAGACTAAGCTGCTTTAAATGATATCAAAAATGTATATGATTAAAAACTATGGTTTCCTGAATTGGGACAGGGGTTACTGCTCTCTGATTGGCGGGACCAGAATCCTTCCTCTGATTGGCTGAGGCAGGTTTACAAGGTGAGGCAGTAGTGGAACGAGAACCAGGTGCCACAGGCGTACTCAACCCAGACTTACTAACAGTCAAAGCAATTAAAAATATGTGATTTAGAAAAATGTGATTTCCAAAGTTTAAAAAATGTGTTCTTAATTTTTTNAGATCTTAAATCTCGAAAAAAAAACTTCTGGCATAATAAAATAACGGGCTAAAAACTAGTTTTTTAATTCTTCTAATTTTCCAATTTGTTTCTTTGCTAATTGAAATGTTAAATTATAGTTTATCTCATTGTCTTTGAACCTTTTCTCTGGAGCCGATATTACTGCTGAAGAGATTTCATTATCATATATTATAAGCTGGTTCTCACACACATCAATCAAGAAATGCAAGCACTCATTACTTCGGTCAATTCTAAAACAATAAACTTGTAAATCAAGCAGCAATATTTATAATTTAGACTGTTTTAGCGGGTTATAAAATATAAAAATTTTGGGATTTCCAAAATGTTGTCTGCCGCGCCATTTTTGCACATCTAAAGGGAGTCTTTCCGAAAAAAAAATAAAAGGGGTATAATAGGCTGATATCGAATTGAATTATATATCTATGACAACAAATTTTACCTTGATAAATGTATAAATTTAATTCGATGCATTCGTATAATAGTTAGTATTTCATAATTTTGTATTTCTACTTTTTGAGGACGATTTTTTTTACTTCTAGGTGGTTCTCCAAAATGAAATCCCTGAAATATTGAGAGCAGAGACACAAAGCGGCCGAAATAATCGACTTGTGTATCGAATATGAAAAAATACACCCCTTTTCATTTTTTACGAACACTCCCTTGTAAGTTTACCTGAAACAGTTTCTAGCTGAGATGAAATCAATGAACGACCACTCTGATCCCTTAATATTAGGACTAGAGCCACCTTTCTTCATTATCTTATCTTGAAGCTTGTTCACCATACTTCTAACCTTCTTCAGGTCAGATCCTACATCTACAAATAGCAATTTTTGTTAGATGTAAAGTTGGGGGACAGTGAGTTCGAAAAAAAATGTCAGTTGAGAAAAATTTTCAAAATTTCCAAGGACATGAGACATGGAGATATTAGCAATGTTAAAATGAGAAAAAACATAAATTGTACTACCTACATTAAAAATTATAAAATAAAAAATTGTTAAAAATAAATAAAATTGGATGTTAGGGTTTGTGTACATTTTACTGTGACATGATAGGAACTGGTTATGGTAAATGCAACAGTTTTTTAAAAGCCTTCCTGTCATGGTCTTTGTATTTTTTTTCCAGAAAACTAAAATATTTTCTGAATTGTTTTTCTTCTGCTGACAAGCATGATATTTTAGAATATAAATATACCTATAATATTTATTTTAAAAATCCGAAAAAAAATCCCTTTAGCAAAATATATATTTTAATCGTTCTTTTCTTCACTGCAAACTAGACCGAGAAGATAAAATTAATAAATTGAAACTTTGTAACCTCGTAGCCAAAGAAAATAGAAGAGTATAGAGTGGAATTAAGTTAAAAAAAGTGTAAAACCGCCATTTTGTTGTACTGTTTCCATACTCCAGGTGTGCTTCACACAATTGCACTATTTAACCTTTTGGGCCCTGGAACATCTTTTTACAGAAAACCTTTGCTTGAAAATTATTCAATTTTCTCTAAATCAATTCTCTGACAACATTTCATCATTCCCGAGTTCCTTTCAGCATAGACTTTACTTTACATTACCGAGTTCATTTCAGCATAAACTTTATTGAAAGAAGAAATTGTAACAGATATGTCAAGGGATCATACTGTATTCTTGCATTGTACTGTCTATAATTTGTGAACATTTAAGGGAAGGCACACTTTGAACTCCTTTTCAAGCTCAAAGGGGCAGAACAAATTCATACCAAAAGGGACAGTTTTTTCCCTTCTATTATAATCTTTGTTCTATGCTCGTAGCTCCTCTAGTTTTGATTTATATGCAGAAGTATGAGGAAATAAGATTTGTCTCGTTTTAAACAAGAATTTAACACATTTTGTTCTTCTCAACAGCTTTTCTATATAAGAGATGTTATAATTGCAATCTTATATTCAATTTACTTAGGTTTGACGTTACTTAGTTGGTTGACTTATAGAAATCGATTACTTGCTCCGTATTTCTGAATCGTTTTAGTTCACAAAAAAACAAAGAAAAAGGGGAACAAAAAAACAGGAAATAAAGGGCTATAGTCTTATACACTTGTTTGTAATAGGATTTTCAAGATTGAGACCATTTTTAAAAACTATATAAAAGTTCCAATTTATTGAGCCCAATCTTTGGCTTGTAGATCTACAATATACAATTTTAGAGGCTAGTAAAGTTTCCAATTGGAGTGAGTAAAGGTAAAATAAAGATAATCTCCGTTTGCACATCTGGGTCTATGCAGACTTGTTTGAAATCGGATTTTCAAGATTGATAACACTTTATTAATATCTACGTACAATTTCCAAATTAATAAAGGTTTCAATCTTGAAAATCCGATGACAAGCAAGTCTGTAGACCCTTATACAAAATTGTGCAAAAGATTATCTTATTTTTACCAAATTACTCACTCCAGTTGGAAACTTTAAGAGTCTATAAAATTGTTATTTTTAGTTCTACAAGCCTAAAATTGGTCTTATTGAATTGGAAATTGTAAAAAGGTTTTAAAATGTTCTCAATCTTGAAAATCCTATTACAAACGAGTCTGTAGAACCTTTTCTCCCGTTTTTTTTTGAGTTTTTGTAGTTTAAAATATTAAATGTCTACGACATCAGGTTAAAAGGTATGAGGAAGAGAAAAATATAGAATAAAGCGTGTAATCAGTTGATATGGCATGGCACGTTCAAACTTTTAAGTGTTAGTTAAAATCATTAAAAAAAACTACTTTTCTGTTTGTCATTAGTTCTGTAAGTTTCATCCCATTTTTAGTTAAGATATTAACGAAAGTCGCCGCTATTTTGAATTTTGATTATAAAACGTTAATTATTTCTAAAGACTGCTATTTCCGTTATACACATAGATAACGATAGATTGCGCATAAGACGACATTTTTCATCTTGAAAGATATAAATGTACAGAGATGTTTTAAAGATATTCCTTTTATATAGATTAACTAGGTCGGTTGTGAACATTGGCTGTTCTTATGTCATTGAGTACTTGTGGTGTACATGAGTTCTGTAGAGAGAAATTTAAGTTAGTATAGTCCTTCTCATGTCCTTCTTCAGTTCTCGTCAATATGATATATTGCTCAGTGAAATATTGTGTTCAAATAGCTCCATTCTCGGAGTTATTTTAGACTCTATTTTATGAAATCCATTAAAACACCAAACCACCCCGCTTATCATTGAAGTCCACTTTGACCCATAGAAGAATGAGTTCGCGGACTGTACAATTCTTGGTGATTTTGCGTACATAAGCTATCTATGTTTATTTATTTATCTATGGTTATACATTAACGTATTTATTGTAACGGTTTTTGTTTCTAGTGAACAGAATCGTTCGTTAACTGCTGTTGAGGACTCGACGTAAGAAAAAGGTTCCTTTACTTCCTTTCAGATAAGAAGATAAGAGTGTTTACTGGAAAAAAAAACTTTACTTTAATTAAAAACCATTAAACGCTAAAAACAGCATTTTTCCATATTTCTCATACAAAATATTTTTTTTTGTATGTTATGGTGATCAAACTACTCAAAGTACATAATTATAGCTTGCAAATTAATCAAGAGAGTTGTATGTTGGATATTACCCCCCCCCAAAAAAAAAAAAATTAAAAATCTACTTCTGAGCACCAGAAAAAAAAATTTGAAGAGTCAGACTCAAATTATGATTTTATGTAGTCCAAGTGTTTGAAAACATATAAAATATGATGCCCTTGATGTCACTTACCCACAGTTATATTTCCGATTGGTTTAGCAGCAGCAAGCAGTTTTGCTTTATCCATACAGAGATCAATATATACATCTTTACTCACCACACACACTTCAACTATTTATGCAGAGCAACAACTTGAAATGCAAATAAATATAGTGGTGTTAACATCGTTCTCTACAAAATTGTTTATCCACTGGGCATTTTATAAGCACAGAAAGAAGCGTATCCCCCCCCCCGCCCAAGTCAAATAATAATTTGCTTACGCCTTAGAGAAGTGTCTTTTATAAAATTGAAACTGTTTTAAAGTCCGAACCATTCGAGGGAGGGGGTGCAGAGCCGCTGCGATCCACGCAAAATTACCTTCAGAGCCTCCTAATTTGCAAAATGACTTCCAAGTTCAAAAAACCATTTCCTTGGAGGTCATCCTAAGAATCGCGAGGCTCAGGAGGTCAGGACCACGACGGCTCTGTAGTGTCTGTACCCCCTTCAGCTCCCCAAACCAATTATTTTTTGAACAACCATTGGATGTGTCGCTCTGAACATTTTTCGCTTTAAAAACTTTATTAAACATAAATTATTTTTAAGGTTTGCTCTCCTGTTTGGTTTTCTTCTTCATTCTCCAAAGTTCCTCCTCCCTTACTAGATTTACGTTTAGCCAACATCTTGGCTTTGTTCAGCAAGGAGATCTCTAAAAAATATAATCTACTCAGAATTGTTTTCTAACTCTTCTCTTGAATAATATAGTAGTCTTGAGAATTACTCTTCTCATATTTGAATTTTCTAAACCTTTTATCCTTGCATTTTGATGTAAATCTTTGACATATAATAAAGCATATTTGATCCACTGGACTTCATTGTTCAAAATATCAAAGGTTTTAAGATCTGGTTGCAACAACATATGGTTTTGAAAGTTAGACATGATGGAATTTGAACTTTTGCTTTGCCTAGTTCATATTAAACTTAAATCTAGAAGTTTAAATTTTAATTCTGAATACAGGGTTCAATTAATTTCAGGAGAAAAAGAAGCCTGGCATAATGACGTTCCCACATATAAGTATTGCCTGATCAACAATTCTTGATATATTTCTGCTTCAGAAAACATACATATAGGAAATTGTCAAAATTTTCAATCAGATTTATTTGAGACATATAAAACGTTTTAATGATGTAAAATTTCTGAGTTTGAGCTTAAAGTCGACGTTTAAAATCATCCATTTGGGTGGAATTTTTTTACATTTTTCCTCTTAATGGTAATCATGGACATGGAGAATAGAGATCAAGTTTCTAAACCGGAATGTTTTTGTCCCCAAGATTCTGGGGAATTTTCTCCAAATCATTGATCTAACTAAGGTTTAAAGGGTACTGCACAGCGAACCAAGATGTGCAGTATTTTGCCAATTACTCATTTAAAACTTAAGATAGAAACAAGAAAGTTGTAGGTTCAGAATTTATATGTCTATTTAGAAAATATCATAAGTGGCTTGGTGAGGTAAACCCAAATGCCAAGTCGTTACGATGCTTTAAATTCGAGACTGTTTAAATATTTGACGACTATCTTTCATATAGTTGTCTAGATATCAGTGGCAGTTGTGAATCGGACTTTCTCTTCTTTAGTGAAATATCATTTGAAATTACAATAGCAATCCCTTTAACATGTGTTCTGTGAACTGTTACTCTTTGGTTAGACGCATGTACTTTATATATTCTACATGACTGAGAAAAAAGGATGTTTAGAATTAGATTTACCAAGAAAACCTCTGGTCTGATATTGAAAATTAGATTACGGAATGTGTTTAGAGAGGGTAGAAGTAATCGAGTTTTACAAGATTCTTACGTAACAGTTTTTTTATAGTTTTATATTGGAGAAAAGGGAAACGCCGCTAATAAAGATAAAATAATGTATTTTTTAATCGGAAAATTTAGCAAACTTTTATTATCTAATTTTTTTTTTATCGAGTTGGCCTTAAAAAATTGGGTTATGATTATGTATTGCAACTTTATACCTTTACACTAAGGCCCTTTTCCGCCACCCCCCCCCCCCCAAATCAAAAATATAATTTACCTATAGTGCAGGGATTAAGCCGAACTGCTTCTCCGTCAACTTGAACAGGAATAGTCTTGTTTGTGGTAAGCTTGGCTGTTTTGCACTGTGTAATACATTGTCCATGTCCACCTGAAGAAAACAAGAAAATTAAAATTTACTTGCTAAACACCCCTCTCCCCTCTTTATCTCAGAAATTAATTTTTTCTGTATATTTTTATAAACTAATTAAAAACGAACAATATGTGAATTTTATGATTTCTTTTAAGGATTCAACGCTTTTATAAAACATCAAATTAAAGTTCTAAAATATCAATTATAAAACCATAAAATCTAAGTTTACAAACAAACAAATGAATACCCGACCTGCTTGTAAGAGAGGCAGTTGATATGTTGTAAGCCCAATCACCTCAATTAGACCATCATCAAGCTTCTGTACTCCATGAGCTCGGTTCCACGGCCTTGTTCCAGATCCAAAACATGGAACATTTAGGAACAGCAGACTATGTATTTTCATCTCCTTCAACTTTGCAGTCATATCTTTACCATCACACTCCAGCGTCACAAATTCAGTTAACTTCTTCCATTTAGCAACTAGACATAAATATCTGTACTCTTGTAAATATACTTACTCATTGTAGCACTAGTCAGATCAGAGTGTAATGCATTCTCACCCCCGTCAGGACTTTTGGAGGAAAATGTACGCTAGATTCTGACGTGCAGTGCTGTATAAAGGAAGTCGTAGAAATTAATGCATAACATTAGAACCGAACAAACAAAATGCTAATTAAAAGTTTTCTAGGTTATGAATGAACTTTGCCAACAAACTTAGACTAAGTCCAAATAGCAGCAATGAAATGTCACCAACATTCCATAATTGTTTTCCTACCTAAAAGATCTTTTCCACCAGCCTGTCCATAATATATTTTGTTCTTTATTCTGAAATATGAGACAATTGATGTTAATGCAAAAAATGCACCTGCAATTTTACAAAGCAAATGTAAAATTGAGAAAGAAAATTGATCCTGTAAAAAAATCAAAACAATTGTGCGCATCTTTGTGTGATAAAACTTTATTACAACATGTATGACAAAAGTGTACATTTTCTCAAAGGTTAATTTTTTGACAATTGACATGAAAACATACCTCTTATCAAAGGCAATTTTAAAAAGTTTTGTTCATGGAAACACATATTAAAATTCATGTAAAGAATTTTTTACCTTGAATTAAACTTCTCTGGATGTGCTTCTCTGGCCTCATGAAACTGAAGAGCTATCTGCGCATCAACACCCATGCTGAAATAGTTATTCACAACATTTAATGGAGGTATGTCTACTCCCTTCTCCTCTGTAGGCTCAATTTCCTTGTTTGGTGTTACAAGAAGACTCCACCGATCCATGGCTATGGTATCTGCAGATTGAAGGCCAATCAATATGTCACTGAATTTCCAAACAATAAAAATTGTATCTCTTAATATTCTAAATCTATCATGTACATTGTACACAATTCTATATGGTAAATTTCAATTGTGCCATTACTGCATTCATTGCAATGGAAACCTTTCCCATTCCTAGCTAAAATTTTGAGCTTTAAATGAGTGTGAAAATGTTGCTGTTGTGTAAAATGTTTTCCATGTCATGTATTTAACACAAATTTACATCTGACATCTAACTGGATAGACATAGTAGAATCATACTACTTACAGCTTAGAAGAAGAGTTGAAGAATTAAATGGTATTGATAAATTGTATTGGCTTTTTATCTTGATAAACTCAATCTTAATCCATTGGGACTTAAATGATTACCAGTATGTTCTTGTATTTTTTATAGGCCATGAAAAAATAAAATTATACCTTTAACAACAAAGAAGAAAAAGTATTGATTATTTATATTGGTTTATATATCACAAATTGACTTAATCCTGCATATTCTCCAGTTTCCTTCTCATAAGTATAAAATGATTACCAAAATGCCTTTTTTTATAGGCAATGAAAAAAGGAACATAATTATAGTTCTTACAATTCAGAAGAAAAATATTCTCTGCAATAATATTGATTTATTGTAAACTGTTTGTTAATCCCTGATAGATTCATCCATGTATCCTCCTCCCCATCCCAGACTTCTGGACAGATCATTCCCTGTCCCCAATGGTAGTACACCTAAATATTGTGATATCTTTGTTTTAACTTTAATAATTTATTTTAATTAAATTTTACAATATTTTTAAATTTTAATATGATATCAGATGGAAATTTCTGCTAGAGAGAAAGCAGGCAACTGTGTGATATCTTTGTATTTGTTTGGTTTGTTTGGTTATTTTCCCAAGTTGGAACTTCCCACGGTTATTTTCCCAAGTTGCAACTTCCCAACTGTGCAATTTGCCAAGCTGCAAGCACAAGTCTGTTTTAGCCTCAGTGCTCGGCCTCCTTGCCTATCCTAGCTGCAATGCTTGGCCCACATTGCAGCAAGCAGTGTCTTGGAAGGCCTAACCTAACCATCGAGAAATTGCCACTTCGGAAATTGCACAATTGGGAAGTTGCCACTTGGGAAATTGTCACTTTGGAAGTCCCCCTTGGGAAAATGCCTAACACGGTTTTGTATGTTACATTTTGAAAAAATGTCTGATGCACAGTAGTGATATTGCTATTGAAAATGAGAAGCAGTTGCATTCAAAATTTCAATAACACTCAAATCCTATACACATAGGTATTTTACTACGTTGCATTGATATATTACTAGATGAGAGCAAATTTAACGACTCCTCACTTTATTAGTAGTAATATCACTACTGCACATCGAAAAATTTTCTCAGTGAATGGTTTTAAAGACCAGGGAAAATTACTAAAACTTAAACATTTTTTGCCAACTTTGATACTTCAAAAATGTCTTGTTCAATCATTATAGATTATTAAGAAAATAATCCTTCAAAACAGTGCTACCCTACAGACTAAAGAGTACAGAGGATTAGGATTCAAGAATTTGCCAAAACTCGGTGAGCATTAAAACAACTATTTGACATGTTAAAGAAATAAAGATTCACACAAAAAAGAATTCATTGGCCTCTGGAAGTTATTTCAAATAATTTTTAATGGTAGTTTTTAAGTTGGTCTGAATAATTCATATTGATGATGAAATAAAATCATTTATTTGAATTTAAACGCTTTGTTTGGAAGGTATTCATGCTTCTTATCCTTCTTGAAACAACATAAGTAGCTTTTAAATATGTATTCATTTTCAATCTTAGAAAAAGGAATATTTATTTTTAGAGCACTCTCAGGGATATTGTTAACGAGTTTCATCAAAATCTTGAAAAGACAACATTTAGTGTCCTATCTGTTATTTGAAGTAATCTATGAGACTATGACTCTAAGCAATAAGATAGAATTCATAAAGATTTTAGAGCAAATTCAGATATACATTTTAAAAAAATGTAAATATATACATATTGATATAAACTCGATACAGAGATAATAAATATCTAGATCTCAAAAAAAAGATATAAACTGTTTTTTATTAAATAACTTCACAAAACAAACACAGTGCATCCAAACAAAAGCTTGTGGATAAAGAAATAAATAAATATATAAAAATAAATACCCCAAATGTATTATTAATGAACTGGTTAGACCTTTTTTCCTCCTGCCCCCTGGCTACCAATGTAAAATTTTAATCTTACTTTGATTAATTGTGAGTTTGATGTTGGATAAAATTATTTAAATTTTCATTTTGAACATATAATAAGAAACTTCTCGTTTATTTGAAAGTTCAAAAGATACTTGGTTTTTTATCAACTTTTTATTTTGATAAGAGTAAACCCATTGGATCCAAATGGCAGTTTAAATCCATAGTTCATGACTATTTAAAAATATTCCAACAATATGCATGATAGCATAAAGTGATTAACAAAGAACAAATTAAGCTGTTAAAGCAATACTGGGAAGCTATATAGTCATTTTCCTAAAGAGGGGGGGAGGGGGCATGAAATCTCCTAAAGCAGAAATTTTCTGCTTTTTCTTAGTGGGCATATCTTACCAACTGGAGGAGAAGGATTAATTGTTATTTTATCAAGAACAGACAGAACCCATCCAGCAGTACCATCTCCTCCACAAGCCAGGAATCGAATACCTGGAATAAAGATAAGCATTGTTTCAAGTGACCCTCCATGCAAAAATGGCAATGCCTGATTCTCAAATTTACCCTAGAAACTTTTATCTGATAAATAATGTGGAGTTTTTCTAGATTTAAAAGTCTTAGACAATTTAGGGTAGGACGGCTGCTTGGCTAGCTTCAACAGTTCCTTGAAATAACAGTCGGGTGTCTAGACAGAAATGGGTTAGGAATGGGGAGGAATGGGGGTGAAGGGGGGGGGCTATTTTTCACAACTTTCTTGTGAAAATGTAAACTTTCTTTGGCAGGGTAAGAAGAATAGACTTGTTAACCAACTATGTTATTTTACCTTTTACCAGTTCTAAAGTAGTTTCAATACATCACAAAACATAAAAAATCTATGTCGCCCTGCATTTAGTTTACTAACAAAGGTATATGATGAACTACTGTTGACCTGGTTCAGGAATATTTCTTCAGTCAAGTACTTAACAGTTTACCTGGGACGTTTTTAAACATTTCAATGGCAGGTCCAGGCCCTCCTTGGGTCAGATCAAACACCTGCCGAGGATTCAACAGACTTTGAAACCTGATAATAATAAACCAGTACTTATGAGAAATACAGGTTACTGTAGACATAATTTACATTTTTCCTTCCATGTATTGCATTACAGATATGACCTTGTGAACTTTTCATTTTTTTCATGTTTTTGAATGTTGTCTTAAAATTTTTTTCCTGCTAGTTTTCCATGAAATAATCGTTTATTGCTGCCGTTGAAATCTCTATTGGTTCTTGGTAGCCACCAAGTGTGTGAGTGCACCCTGATTGGATTAGATGCTACCGGAAAGATTAAATAAGGGTGCCTGCAGTTACCTTTGTTTTTCCCTGCAGTAACCTTTGTCTCTGTTTCCCCCTGCATTTACTTTTTTCCCACTGCAGTTCACTTTGTGTCCCCCTGCAATTACCTTTGCATGAGTTTAGCTCCCTGGTTCCCGCCAGATTTAGGATTTAGGAACACAATTAGAGGATGGCAGTTGGAGACAGGAACCGGTTTTACAATAAAATTCTTGTCATAATCCGTCTTCTCTATTTTTTCAGGGTTAACCTTACCCCAGCTAGACTCGACATATCCTTTCCTACAAGAGAATTCATTTAAAAGGATCGTACAAACAAAAATCCAGTTTTTGGATAAAGCATCTTCTGCAATAGAAATTTTAAAACATCAAAAGTCCAGAATTAGTTACCCAACATCTTCACCATGGCGCATACAGTTGTTTTAAATGTTTCCTGGGTAGGGACTAGGGAGACAACTTTTAGACTCAAGTTATATTTTCTAATTGTCCAAATAAACAAAAACACAGAAATTGTGCAATGTGCACAGATCTATCTGACAAAATAATATTTGCTTTGTAAAAACATCAAATACACTTAAAAATTGTTTTAATGACGTCTTCATATTTCACAGTTTTCTAGTTATTACTGTCTGTGTACGTTTATGTTTCTTTATTAATCGTTTAATGCTTTTTAAAATGTTCATATGCTCCACAAAATTCGACTTTTTTATATTTAGATAAAGTATACTTTTGTTGCACCATAAAAAATTGTGTTATGCGGAGGATAAAATTATTTTTGAATGTGAATTACAAAATCTGTGTTTGACAGTAGAAAATATTCAATCTAATATTCTGCCATCATCTCAGGAATAAAACTTTTAAGCTGTCATCATGGGGAGGAAATGGTTTTTGATGTTTTGAGGAAAAGGAGGACAAATTTGACATCAAAAGACAATTTTTCATTCTTTTTGATACTTTTTACCCAAAACTTCATTGATTTTCCCTTTACAAAAAATGATTTTCCCCAATTCAGCGGGAAAAAAACCTTTAAGAATTTTGCGCAAGCAAGGGAGGGGGGAAGAAAATAATTTTTCCTGAAAAATACACCCCTGCTGTCATCATAAAATATACACCCCTGCTGTCATCATAAAATCAATAATTTTTAAATAGATTCTGAAAGTTTAAAGCAATATAGAAGATTTCTTCTATTATCTAACCAGCCATTTTATTTTATAAAAAGTTTACTTAGGAAGCTTAATTAGCCAATTAGGAGGAACAATAAGCCCAGAGTGTATCCCTAGAGCACAGACAAGATCTTTTTCTAAAATAAAAAAATATTAAACTAAGATAACTTAGTATTGATTTGTATTCATATTATAGGAACTAAGACAGAGTGGCATGTTGTTTTCACATTGGTACCCTTTAAACTTGCATCTGATCAAAAATGAATGATATATTTTTGTTTTACCATCTAAAAATCTGTTATTTTGAATTGGTGGCTCTGCATGGCTTCTATTAAAAATTAGAGTTAGAAAAACAGGTTGAAATATTTTAGAAATATACAGGGTTACCCACAAAGGACCCAGCTAGCCAAATTGCGTAGATAGCGTGGTTGCATATTATTTTGGCTCTAATTGAGCAATTAAAACGCAAATTTGCGTATGACTAGATTTCATATCCCACAAACTCCACTCCACCCCACGAAACGATGATAACGACATCCCTTCGTTAATGATCGTTTATGACCTACCGCTGTATTCCCAATAGAAGGACTATATATACAGGGTTACCCGCAAAAGATGACAGTACAAGACGACCTAAATCTTTTAAAATATGACGATTCCAAGGTTGAACAAAGTCTTCTGCCTTTGTCTTATTAGGGCTTATTTAATGATTGACCAAAGAGAGTCTGAAGTCTGAAGTCTCATTCTTAGTTGATCAAACATATTTATCTAATTTAATTTGTTACCATGGTATTGGTAACCATTTTTATATTGTTAACTTCTTTAAAACTGGAAAACAACTCAATAGAAACTATATTACATTTTTTTCGTTTTAACTAATAACAATATTTTCGTTTTCAACCCATTTTTTTAAGTCGTTTTTGTTTTCAAATTTCCAAAATGCCAGGGTATCTGGGAAATTTGAGAAATTTCCAAAATTTTATAAATGTACCACTCTAAAATTCCTATAGGAATTTGGGAAATTTCGGGAATTTTCCAATTGCCTGGGTGTCTGGGAAATTTCCCAAATGCCTGGGTATTTGGGAAGTTTCTCAGATTCCCGAAATTCCCGTTGGAATCTGATGTTGGTGTATATGAAATAATTTAGAAATTTCCCAAATACCTGGCTATCTGGGAAATTTCCCACATGCCTGGGTTTTTGGGAAATTCCCCAAATATTCAGTCACTTGAGAAATTTCCAAAATCTTAAAAATATACCACCCTCAAATTCCTTTGGGAATTTGAGAATTTTCGGGAATTTTCCAAATGCCTGAGTATTTGGAAAATTTCCCAAATGCTATTTAATACAAAAACTATATTACTTTTTTTCGTTTAAATTGATGACAATGTTTTCGTTTTCAACCCATTTTTCGTACGGTTTTTAAGTCCTTTTCGTTTTCAAAACGATATTAAAAACGATTTTCCCATGTTTCTATTGGAATCTGATGGTGGTGTATTGAAAATATTTCAGAAATTTCCCAAATGCCTGGGTATCTGGGAAATTCCCTAAATGCCAGGGTATCTAGTAAATTTCCCAAATGCCTAGGTTTTTGGGAAATTCCCCAAATATCCAGTCATTTGAGAAATTTCCAAAATCTTAAAAATATACCACCCTCAAATACCTATAGGAATTTGGGGAATTTCCCAAATGCCTGGGTATCTGGGAAATTTC